TGTATTTACAATAAACTTTGTTATATTTCCCTCCATCTTGTAACATATATTTTTTTACGTTACAGGTAGTAATTTATTTCCATCATCGCCATCTATTTATTTCACACCAAAAGAAGAAGCGGTTGATCACGAAGTGAGGACGCACAGAACACACACAGAATCATGTCCATTTCATCTTGTCCTTCATCTGTTGTTAATGTTTTCAATAAATATCATCATGAATTTTTTTGTCTTTTCTTTTCTTTATTAACATGGATTTTTTAAGGTTCTAGATATCAAAATCTCATATTGATCAGGTGGTGCATAAGGGCATGGCAAGCTTAAATTTTGTAACTTAAGATTACAGAAGCCGGTATGTGCCAAGTATAGGATAATGTTACAGTTTATTATAGTTTATTAGAAGTTAGTTACTACAGTTATTATTATTATAGTTTTCTATTATTTTCAAATCTTGATCATTGTATGACACAGTTGATAAAGGATACTTAAATTACAAATAGAAAGAACTCTTATTTATGATCAAGATAGTGACGCAATAATGCCTATAGTACAGTGTCCGTTTCCTGGCTGTGACTATACCACCGCCGACCTAGATGCAGCAATAGAAATATTTTATCTGGCGTTCGCCAAAAAAATTCTATCTGGCACATTCAAGCTTCCGTTCGTAGTATAATTTTCAAGCCTCAATATTACATCTATCTGCTATATGCAAAACTACTAATTAATGTCATTTTTTAAAGGAGAAATTAAATGAACGAAAGGAAACTTTTACAAAACCCCCAAACCCGGCCCTAAAAAATATTAATTTTTACGAAAAGTTCAAGAATGAAGATTTATAAATCTGAGCTTGATTACGATATCTTTTCCCTATTTCCTCATATTTCCTTGACGGGAAAATCCAGAAAACCAACAAGTCTAAACTTAGGACAGAAAACCTTCATAGATGCCAACGAAATAACTTTTGTACTAGCGATCGATGTCACCTGTCGATAATTTATAAAGCAGGCCTCGCCATTAGTAAAGATTGACAGATTTCTTCATATAAATCCCTCCGACGGTTTGGTCTAACCGATATTGTTCCTCCGTGGTTTATGTAGTGTGTGTGGGGCTCTCCGGTAAGTCTTTCGAACTCCCTGTAGAATGTCTCCCTCACCCCCAGCCGCCTGCCTCCCACCCTGTGTTCATAACATGTCGTCTTCAATTAAAACTTCTTTTGTTATTAAAACTTTACATTTATACATTCATGAATTTGTCTTGTCATTTTTGTTGTTTCTTTAACTCCACTAACTCAGCTGTATAAACTATGTTTTTCACTAACTTTACTAACTGGGCTGTATACAATATGTTTTCACTAATTTTTGAGTAGATAAAAGTTATTTTGAAGATTTTTGCAAAAATTTATTATTTTATTTTTTAATTTTTAAAAAGAATTCCCATCCTAAGATACTGTAATAAAGGTTTATTAAACTTTTAAAATTGATAAAATTAATCATTTGATTTCATGATCTAGCCAAAAAACACACAAAAAAGTCGAGTTTACATGTAGTATACTCTTTTAAAAGTTTCTTCCCTTATTCAAACGACTAAAAAGGTTTTCTGTGCAGCATAAACATAAATTGCAAGTAAATATCAGGGTACACAAATGCGTGTTTCCACAAAAAATATAGTAAAACAATGCATATAACATAAATTTTAAGAAAAGGCGTGGAACTTGGGCAATGAAAGCTTTTTTTTTGCAGAAAAACTTTTCTTTTAAAATAAAAATACGATACATGTGCCCTCTACAAAAAATTAGAATTCTTTAATTCAAATTAGCATATGACAAATTTAATGGAAGAATTCTAATTTATTGTAAAGAACAAATGTTGAGTGCGCTAAATAACATTTTGAATACGCTATTTTATTTTATTTTTTTAAATATTCAATACATGTATAAAGATAAATGCATTCACATCATATAAAGATATGTTAGAGAGACAATGCACATATTATAATTACATGTATTTATGTATTACCCTTTATACAAATAGCAATTCAGTAATGAATGGGACACTACATGTTTTTTTTTATTAACGACGTAGCAAGTTTTACATGTTACTTGTTGTATGTTGAACCAGGTCATCCAATGGTAAATTGATCGATGATATAGTATTAAATTTATAAAAACATATCTTTAAAATTAACATCTTGATGTACCTGTTGAAATTAATGAAAAAAATATTTCAGGAAGTTCATTTTTAACATACGATAATAATATTTTTGGCTTTAATCTAAAAAATTACAAGCATTTTGCAAAATTACGGATACGTATTCTACACCTTTAAATTTTGTTAAATTTTGATTGATAACTTCCCTTTTTTAAATATCTCCGCGCCAAAAGAATTCCATTTGCTTTGATGATGTTTCTTTCCTCCTTTTTTGCGATCCTTTAGTTTGCCCATTTCTCATAATTTTTTTTTCAACAGGTTTCAATAAAACTAACAATTCTGAATTACCTGGGAATTTCAGAAAAGCACATTTAGCACATAATAAAACTATATTTTTATGTGATTTCATAAACAAATTAAGTGAAAATATAATAGATCTTATTTTTTTTTTCATTTTGCAAATAATTCATAAATAAAATTATATACTATGTCAAAAATTCCCTCTCCTTAAAAAAGAAAGAAATTATTGTTAAAATGTTTGCCAAAACTCCCACACATGCTATTTATATATCTAATTTTAATCAAATACTGATTATCTAATAATTCATTAATAAAATCATATGAAATTTTGGATAAAGTTTCGCCTTAATATAAAAATATAAAAATAATGCCCTGTTCACACGACGAGTTTAATTCGCAGTAAACTAATGCGAAGTAAACTAATGCGAATCAAATTAATGCGAATTAAATTGCGTTCACACGACAGCACGAAGTATGTCGAATTAAATTTACATGGCAGATATTATTTGTAAAGCACGTCATGTATAAAAAGCCATCCTTTGATACAAAAATATTCATTGATTTTACAAGTATTTCTCAATTTTTAAAAATATACATGTAGCCCAAATATATATAACCACCAAACTTTTTAATTCTGGACAACATGTCAAAAAATTGTTATCTTCTTAGCGTTCACACGGAAATCGTAATTTGATGAGTAAAAGACAAAGCTGATGTCAATTATGATTTTCAAGTGGATAAAAATTCAGTAATTTTACGTTTAATTAAAAAGTGAACAGTGTAAAATAATTTGTTATAGTAATTTTTTCATGTATATTTAAAGTGTATTCAAAGAAATCACAATAATGAACGTCAGTTAAAACACTACACACGTCCTACAGCTATGTTGATTTTTTTTTATCAAGGCCATGATACTTAGAGGCCGTGGATTTTGCACGCGGCGTGGTAATACTACTTTTCAAGAAATGATTTTCAATCGATCAAATCTGATCATTTTTTTTATGAAAGAATAACAAATTGTATCAAATAGAGCTATTTCATATTATCTAATAGATATTCTTAGGAATATAATTGTCAAAAAAGTAGATATTACACTCAACATTCTACATCTTATCACGTGACAAATAAAAAAATATAACAGTTTGGCAATACAAATATTTTTAAAATATTTTAATGATTTAATCATAATTAATGTCTCAATGGACTAAGAACACGGCCGTAATATAGAACTCTTTCTGGTCAGTGACAGCCGCCGTTAACCTATTTGTCAATGTCGCTTACCTGTCTATCGGAGGGGAGACACATTTATTGCTAACACCGTCAGGGATCGAATTACGACTTCACTGATCTCTGACCTACTTCTTTTAGTACTTGTAGTTAAACGTTACGACCTCGAAGTACTTATGAAAGGAATGTGACATCATAATCGGTTGAATTTTTTCTACGTTTTTCTTTTGCTGACGATTTCCTTGCAACAGAACAGTAGTCAAAAATCGTCTCGCAGTTTTAGACTTGAGTCGGAAATTGCATATTGTCCTAAACTTTTATCATAAAAATACAATTTTTGAAGTTTTTTTTCTTTGATATGTAAATTGTGTGCTAATAGATTCAATTATTATTTTACAATAAATATTCATTTTATGAAGGACAAAAATTTTGACCCATGCTATCTGAGACTGCTGCATGATCTTGGGGTCAGAATTAAAATGTTAGATATACTGAGTACATGTAAGGCGCGGATCAAGAATCTTATACCGGTACTAGAAAAGGCTGGAAAACTTTGAAGTTCAAAGCAGACCAAGCCCTGAGAGCCAATGTTCGTAGGAGGAGGGGGTGGAAGCAAAGACTCCATAAGTTTCTAAGAATTGGCAATATTTAGATATAAGAAACATAATGGACTGCAATGATTTTAATTAACTTTTTGAAAATGGAACTGAAGTGAATATAATCACATTTAGAAAGTCTGTTAGTGTTATGCCATCTTTTAAAGAGGAGAGGGCAACCAAACAGTCTTATTGTGTCTTTTGGATGTCATTCTTATACATGTAAATGTAGTAAGCTTTTTTTTTACTTTGAAATCACTAATTTTAGTGGGGGGTTAATTTTAGTGATTTTCAAGTTATGAGAAGACACACGAATTTATACCAACCACGAAATGCAATTTTTCACATATATATATATATACTACTGAACAATTCTTCAACCACGAAATCAAATCCCAATGAACCAATATATTTTCATCACACCAAGAAGTGTGGCCCTTCGAAAATATGTGATTTTACAGTATTACGCACAGCAATCTTTGTAGGATCTACGGTTTTGGATTTTAACATTTAGAAGAAATTCTGAAAACAGCCGTTTCAGTCAAATATTTATTTTTGATGCATGTCTTATATTTATTATATGAATACTCATTGACCCATTAATCTCATCTCCAGTTGTCTTGTATGCATTTTTTTTAAAAAACTTTCTTCTGCTTTTAAAATATGAACACTGAAAACTGAATTTAAGATAAATTGTATTTTTTAAGTATTTTTTTTTCGTTTAGACCACCATGTTGACAAAACAATTGTTGCTTGCTCTGATTTTTGCGGCCATGATGGCCCTCAGTTCAGCGCAGACTACAGCATTGGCCAACATTGGAACAGGGGGCGCTTTTCTGGCAGGACTAGCACTTCCGTTTATTTTTAATCAGTTCCGGCGACCACCTCTTCCTGTGGTAGTTCCGTATCCGATACAGACCAACTTCCCACCTCAATTTTTCAACCCGTACCCTCGAGTACCTTTCCTCCCAGGTAAAATCGGCATCAATTTACCTTTTATATATAGGATCTTCTTATCTCAAAATATATTAAGAATCATTGATAGTCTGAGAAGAAAGATAACTCTTAACAGGATAAAATTTGTCTATAGATGATAACTCTACAAATTGGAAAGTCTTTAATGATCATGTCCAGTTTTGACCCACAAGCTTTGCATTTTACTTATAAACTACGTGTTCATTTCTTTTGGAACATTATAAGCGTTAAAGCAAGATTTTAAACGAGTGAACATAATATTTATAAACCCTATTTTAAAGCTATATTAAGGGTTTAAAAAAAATATAACAAAAGATAGAGTGTAGATATTTATTATAAAGTTTTATATTAAAATATAATCTAGGGTAAAATAATTTATATATTTCCCCTGGACATTGTATATGTATACACTGATAATTATATTTTTTTCTCCAAAATTGACGATTTAGGTATAATAGTTTTTTTTATTCCATTCAAACCATTCTTTTCATGTTGACAAAATCTATGAGAATACGGTAAATGATCAAGTTATGTCATAAATTTGAATCCAGATTGGCCTATTTTGAAAAATAAGCAATTTTCTTCTTATCACCATGATCATAGGAAAAAATAGGATTGATTTACAGAGTTATGCCTCTTTTTCCTAGGTACATGTATTAGATATCATGCATGCCGAATCATTAGATTTTTCTAAACTATTTTCACTGTATAGATAGTTTAAATAAACTTGAAAATTATTTTGCACAAAACAGTTTCATTGGTAGTTATTTTGAGGTCGGTCAAAATTGATTATACACATACGTGTACAATTGTTTGATTGATTAATTAAATAATGTACTCTGTATTCTGTTGCAGGCGCCCCAGGGTTCTTTGGTTAAAGTGGAAAACCCTTTGAACTTCCTGTCTGCTGTTTTATTATTACATATTATAATAATTAATAAAAAAAAACATTATTGCACTGAGCCTCTTCATGTTTTCATATTTGTAAAGTTAAAGTAAAAAAATAAACATGTGGTTAAAACAATATGAGCTGCATTTTTGTACAGATAAATTTGTATGTAATCTAAACCTTTTTGATCAATCAGACTATAAAATAAATAAAGTATTAAATTGTTTCAGAAGAAATACTTCTATACAATAGAATATACCGTATTATATGTAGATCATTATTGTACAGGACGACAATATATATGTGATTATTATTCAAAACAGTTTTTGTTACATGTGTTTTAGTGCAAGTGTTTTATTCTAATATCTAATAAAAGGTCAACTGAAACAGTTCTCAAAATGCCATTAAACTACTTTCTAGGAGAAGTTGATATCTTAACAAAAAATTGCCGTAAACATGATTTTTTTTTTTTAAACCTATAACTGTGCTTCGAAATTCAGGTTCATATGAACTGAATTATTCATCAATTTCAGTATTTAAGGTAATCAATTTATAACGACCATATTTTGTGCCTAATAAATGAATGATCCGATATTTTTAATCATGGTAGCATTTTGAAGATGCTGTCAAATAAAATGCTCCAGCAATGGAATTTATATAATTTTGATTAATGTCCAATGAATTGCACCTTGAATTTTACATTGATGTCGATGGACAGCGCATTTTTTACCAGGTATTGTTAAAGTAATTTGAATTTGAAACAAATCTCTTGGTGAAAATATGTATTAACTTCCACTTTATTAAATTATGAAATAAAATAAATTATTTAGCACAGAAACTTTGAAAAATCAAAAATTTTCTTCTTTTCATCAAGGGAAGATAACTCTTCAGAAACCTTTAACGTGCAAAATTACTGTCTCCTTAGATGTTATCAGTCTTGTGAATTTGGTTCATTTCACTTTTATCTAAATCCCGGGCTTCATTATACATTGAAAATAGTACCTTAAGATCACATAAGTGACATAACTGCCCTTCAGTGGCATCGCTCATGGAATGGAGACTGCTAATGACGGGACACGGACGAAAGACTCGAAAATTTACCTGAAAAAAAACTTTAAAGTGACAGTGCAGATGATCAGTGACAAGAAAGAGCCCCCCCCCCCAAAAAAAAAAAAAAAAAAAAAAAAAAAAAAAAAAAAAAAAGATTTTGATTTTTTTTTCTGTCAACCTTTAATTGTAATACATGTATATATATTTCTTGCATTACACTGCACTAGTAAACTAATAATGATAATTTTATCACATTATGTTTTTGTTTTAAAATGCATTTATTTAATTTAAATTTTTGTTATTTTTGTAATGAAAAGAAATTTAGAACCAACCTTTTTGTTAGATGTTTGATATGTTTCTGGGTGTGTGTGTGTGTAGGGGGGGGGGGGGGGTGGGGGTGTTCAATTTGGTTTTTTTTTTGGACTTTACATGGCTATATAAAATTGTAAATCACAAGGGTGAATAACTCTCAAAGCTACTTCAAATACTATAGAACTAATTTACCATACATTTCCTTTTCATCGCATTCTCAAAGTCTCTGTTATCTGTTATAGACTGGGAAGGTTAAATATTAGTCCAAATGTAGGTGAAAGTAGACCATATATAGCATATCTAGAACAATGTCAGGGCAGTGTGTTAAATAATCAAAATTTTTGGAATATTAAACTAGAGGTACTGTGAGCAGTAAAAATATATTTAAATTTTTTTTTACCATAGAATATAAAGAGAATTTCCATGTTTTGCTCTGGAAAATCAAAAATATATGTCAGATCAAAAAGTAAAATAGGAGGTGCACAATGGCAATATGTAAATAAGAATCTGTGAAAGTTTCAATAAATTTCCTTCAGTGGTATGAGAGGAGTTGCGGATAAGAGATGGGTACCCCAAAGCGTAACAGACGGACGGACGGACTCACTTTTCAAGCGGGGGTATAATTACAAGTTATTGTTTTATTGACACCTAGGTGCCCCACATGTAATAATAATATACATATTTTTTTAAGAAATGAAAGAGTTTCTTTCACCTTTTTTGTATTTCTGTGTCATCTTGTGGCAATGAAAACCATGGGTGTTAAGAAAAGATTTGTCACCGGTAGGTGACTTTAGAATAAAATATGATTCCCATCAATGAAACGACGAACAAAATTATCCAAAGATTGCAAAAACTTATACAAAAAATAACAAAACAGAACATAAACAAGTAAACAACCAGATGTAAAACAATTTCAAGCACAAAACAATTTCTTTTTTTATTTTTCATGAAATATATAGGAAAAATTAATATACCTCTTTCATACAAGAACTACTGGGCTTGAAAAGTGGGAGGGTATATGTGGAAGCATCCTGGGATAGTGTAGATTCTAAATTGTAAAAATCATGACCCCGTCTGTCCGTCCGTCTGTTACACAATGGGGAATCAAAGTTTTATCCGCAGAAATATATAGTGAAAAATTTGGAAAACTTTCACAGAATCTTTATTACATATTGAAATTTGTGCAAGCATTCTTGGGCTTTTTAATTCGTATATTTTGGATTGACCCCAGGGCAAAACATGGCCACAATGGAATGACAGTTTTACATAGAAATATATAGGAAAAATCTTTGAAAATCTTCTTCTCAAGAACCACTGGGCCAGAAAAGTTTTGAAACTTATGTGGAAGCATCCTGGTATAGTGTAGATTAAATTAAATCATGAGGGGTGATCAAAAAGTGGGGCCACAATTGGTAATTCAAAGTTTTACATAGAAATATATAGGAAAAATCTTTGAAAATCTTCTTCTAAGAACCACCGGGCAGTAGAAAAGTTGAAACTTATGTGGAAGCATTCTTGGGTAATGTAGATTTAAAATTGTTCAAATCATGACCCCCAGGGGAAGGGTGGAGCCTTAATGGGGGGATCAAAGTTTTACATAAAAATATATAGGAAAAATCTTTGAAAATCTTCTCAAGAACCACTGGGCCAGAAAAGCAGAAACTTATTTGCACATGGAAGGATCCTGGGGTAGTTGATTTCAAAATGTCTAAATTATGATCAGTGGGGTAGGGTGGGGATACATTATGTATTACAAGGGGGAAATCTGGTAAAGAAGTACAGAATGATAAACGTTCTCAGGTGAACAATATGTAATGAAAATGGGCCTCTTGTTTGTATATATTTCTGTGTCATCTTGTTGCAATGAAAACTATGGGTGTTAAGGAAAGATTTGTCACCGGTGGATGACTTTTGAATAAAATATGATTCCCATCAATAAAACGACAAACAAAATTATGCAAAGATTGCAAAAACTTATACCAAAAAAAAAGTATAAAAAGAGAACATGTAGAACATAATAGAACAAAAACAGGTAAACAATCAGATGTAAAACAATTAGATAGATAGACATAAGTAAACAACAAAGTTCAATTTGAGAGTCCTTCCTCGCCATCACCATAAAAGCACGCGTAACCAACAGCAGGGAAGGTTATTGCATATAAGTTTTCTGTGACATCAACCCGTTATTCTAAAATTATCACATGTTTACCACCCAAAAGTTGAGTTACTGGGGACTAAAAACTAGACAGTGTTATCTTATATTTCCATTTCATTGTGAAATAAAAGTAGACTTAAACATTAAGAATCCAGACTAATCGATTTAAATTACACGAGGACTTCCATGCCAATTTCAATAGTCCTCGAACACTGACGTCAAACACAAAAGCAGCTGCACGAGATTTACATGCATATTTGGCCTCCTTAGCGTCAGACACAGAGACAGATGCCCACGCCCAGATTTGGCAATTTGTGCCTCTTTAGCTGCTATTTCCAGTTTTGACCTGATAATTTACATTCCGGGAGAAAAATTATCGGGAAATCAACTCCGCTTACTTTCAAAGGGTTATTATAGAGGAATAATTTAGAAATGGAAATATTAGAACATAAACAAGTAAACAACCAGATGTAAAACAATTTACAAGCATAAAACAATTTCCTTTTATTTTTCATGGCTCATATCATCAAATTAATATACCTCTTTCATACATTTATTTTGGGTTTGTTATTTTAATTCAAAATGCAATCGGAACATCACTAAGCTTTTTTCGTCAAGTCAACTTGACGGAAAATTCAAAATGGGTTATGTTTTAGGCATATAGGAAAATGGAAAAAAAAAAACTGCTCAATATTTGATTTAGTCGGAACTTAAAATCATCATATACATACAAATTGTTTGTATTAGCATTTCTTTGCCGTTGCATTGAAGAGTGCAATGCAGTTTAAAAAAAAAAGGGAGATGGACGAATGGGGAGTGGAAAATGCCAAACTTCGAACCCGAAGGATTTCGCATTAATAAAATTTTAAAATAAATACAAATTTCTTTTGAGGTTTATATCATTTTGTATTCCTTGTTCGCATTTATGTATCTGAAGATATGCATCATATGAAATTATTGGTAATATAATTATGGCTAATTATTTACGTTAAAGTGTTTTCTACTTGAATTTGGCATGGGGAAACAATAAAAATACAACAAAAAATCATACAAGAAATATCTTTTATCCTCTTCACATTAGCTTTATCTCTGTTATATGAAATGCCTTGTTTTGACTCTCATGTTTATAGACAAGAAAGATAAGGTTCTGGTCAAACGGCCGGCATTTTTAGGTCAAGAATTAGAATGGAGATAATTATATATTTATCTTAGTTAACAAGGATTCTATACATTGATGATGTTTTACTATCACAATGTTTAGAGAAGTATTCAGAACATACAACCCTATAGTATAAGCATATTGAACCTACTTGATAAATGATAAAATGCTTGTTGTGGTAATGCTCCATTTGCCAAAGATGTCTCTCTTTTTTTCTAAGAAGGTTTTACAGGAAATTACAACAAATATTTATACTTGTGCCCTTTCGCATGTAGTGAAAAGGGGAAAAAGCAATACTTGTTTATGATGAGTATTTAACGATTTTTAAACAAAAGTAAAAAGCAGGGACATTTTTTTCTTTACACTGCATTGCAATACTATTCTAAATCTTGGATCAACATTGCATGTAAAAGCAGTAGGTTTAATTGTAATCAATAAAACTAGAATAAATTGACGGAAATTTGCTCCATTTATCATTAGAATATTTTATACACTATTTGTCACGAATTAAGTAAGATTAGAGCTAATGCAAAAATAGTTCAAATGCACGTTTAAGACGTAGTTCTAAGTAGGAGTTGCAAATCTAAATTCTATTTCGATAATAGAATAGATATGTAGGTCACGAAAAATTGCACACCTAAACTATCAATTAATCATTTCAAAATCTGACAAGAATTGTGTTGATTTGGTCACCCTGCCTTTTTCATACACCCCAAAAGATTATACACATCAATCATAATTAATAAAAAGGTTTTGATTCAGGTAGTACATTTGTCTTGAACATAATTCACAAGTAGTAAATTAGTGAGGAAAATAAGAATTTGTTATCGCAAAAACATGGCAAACATAATTTCTCTTGAATTGCTACATAATTGAAAAAGTTAAAAAAAAATATTTTTTTTTATTGAAACTGATATACTGACCACTGGAGTCAAATAATCCAAAATAATACTGAGGAAAATAAAACTTTTCTCGCCCTATGGACTAGAATGAAAATTACTAAATTCAATAAATCAAAACTTTTCAGTTTTTGTGAATAAAAAAATTATACTTCTCTTGAAAATATTATCAAAAAAGATAATAAACTTCGAGGCGACCCAATTATTAACATGAAAGTTTTGGAAGATATCTGAGCACTGACGAATTCAGCACTGTCCTGAAAAGCCCCCATATGGCCTTGACAGACAAAACCAATATAAAAGTCTGATCACACTGCATAAACAGCGAACAGATCATACAGCTTTTGAACAAGGTAGGTCCATTATTGTAACAATACAATAAATATAATTTTTAAAAAAAAACCCAAATATTGCATGATTGTGTTTATAAATATCGAATCTGATAAAGGCAATCATGCAATAAAATACAGTGCAGCTGTTTACATGGACATCCCATAAAAATATATTTTAAAAAAATTGTTTCGATCTTATTTTTAAAAGAATAACAGTTTAAATCATTTTTAACAATATGTTAATAAAATTCCATTTTCAGCTCCAAAAGGAATATTTTCGGAGATACTGTACTTAATTACAAAAATGTTTAATATATTTAAAATTACAATAATAAAAAACTGTATAATGATGCAAAATTCGGAAACAAAGTTGACTCTGTACATTACTTAATAATTTATGCAAGTTCCGTTATCACTCGAATTTAATTTGAAAGTAGTCTCAGGAACTTCAGCCTCGTTACCGATCCAAAAAAATAAGTCAAACGATTACCCATTTTCCCTTTCGGTAGGTCATAAGTTATTTCATCTTTAACCTTCAGTTTTTATTTATACAAATAATTGTACATTGTCCTTTAGATGGGTAAAAAGGGTTTGAAATTTTTATGAGATCCTTCTCACTTTAAAATTTAAGGCGTAATTCCAAATTATAAGTCATTGGAACCCATCCTTTTAAAAACAGCTTGTAGTGATTTGCAATGTTAATTTATTTGATCAGTATGACCAAATTCTCAAACGGATGTTATTCCACACAGTTACAGTGGCACTCAAAACATAACTTTTTTTTCTGTATTCACCAGGTAGAACGCTATATTCGGTGTGGCGGCCATCTGATGTCACGCATGGCCGCTTCATGTACCCTTCTACCCGGTGATATTGTCCAAACTTATATTGGATGTCCTTTGCGTACATGCAGGACATCCAATGCTTAATTTTTATGTAAAATAAATGGGACAATCAGAATTTAAGGCTCTATTGACAGTAAGCATCTCAAGTTAAAACATGTATAATGCAAGATTTGTCAAGACAGAAGTTGCAGTGTCTTAGAAAAATGGTCCGCTTCTTTAGAATAAAAAAACCCCCAATGCATCATTGATAATTCAACAAGAAAATATGACAACAAGACAATATGACATACATATAGTATAGAGCATGATAGTTTTTTTTTGATACATGTAGGTTCCAATGACATGTTTCATTTGAAAGTACACTTTTTAAAGCGTAAAAGACCCCTTCGCAAAATCGAAATTTCAAACTCTTAAATTAAAGACGACATAACACACTGACCTAATGACAGGGAAAGTAGAAATGTTCTGATTTTTTTTATTTTTTAAAAAAAGGGGAATATGAGTGAAATGAAATAATTATGATATCTTTTTCAGATAAATATGAAGACTCTGCTTGTAGTCACCTTGTTCGCATTCTGCAGCGGACACAGAATCCACTTCCGTAACAACTGTAACAAGGAAGTGTGGGTAGGAATTCTGGGAAACACCATCCCAGATCAAGGTGAGAACCATCTCTACTTCCATGATCAATTTTAAATGAAATATTTGTCTAAATAATTAGACGCATCTGGGCTAGATAATGTTGATTAACTTAATATGATATGATTTTAATTAGGGGGCTTTAAGCTTCACCATGGACAAAGTCACAGTGTTTATCTCGGACCTCATTGGTCCGGAAGGATGTGGGGAAGAACCGGATGTGGCGGATCTCGTTGTGAGACTGGAGACTGTGGTGGTGGACGACTTCACTGCAGTGGCGCTGGTGGAGTTCCTCCTGTAACTCTCGCCGAAATCACGTTTGACGGTGCCGGAAACCAAGACTTTTACGATATCAGTTTGGTTGATGGTTTCAATCTACCTCTGAGCATGCGCCCAAGAGCCGGAACAACAGAAGGAGCATCAGGGTCATACTATTGCCATTCTGCTGGATGCTATACAGATGTCAACAATATTTGTCCCAGTGGTATGAGAATGTACGGTACTGGCGGAGTTGTGGCCTGCAAGAGCGCCTGTCTTGCTTTCGGAAGACAAGAGTACTGCTGCAGCGGTGCTCACAACACACCGCAGACGTGTCCAAATTTCTCCTACGCCGAGACCTTTAAGAGAGCCTGTCCTCAGGCCTATAGTTACGCCTATGATGACCACAAGAGCACATTCACGTGTAGGGGAGCCGGAGGAAGACAGTCAGAATACGACGTTGTATTCTGTGGTTAAACTATTTCATGCGATAGAACTTTAATTGTACTAAAATTGAATGTAAAATGGAATGTTTTGTTTGAATTGTCTTGATCTGATTAAGAAAACAATATCTTATATAATTTCTTCCTTATGTTATCATGATATTAAAATGTTTTTCTTGTTTAATAAATTTCCATTTTCCCTTTCTTTTGCATTTATAAATGGTATCAAATCTTATTTCCTGCTTGACTTTTTGCGGTTGCTGGAGTTCGAAAATTGAACACAAATGCTGCCAACACTGCAACTTTTTGATCCGCCCCTAAAATATGACTGCCGATAAGGGAAACAAACTCCCAAGTGCTATAGAAGAAGATGGAGAAAGCACGGGTCTTGGGCATAAAAAAATCAAACCTTTGTCAATAAAATCTATAACTGTGAATTGTTCATTCCATGGAAAAAATGAATACTTAAATTTGATCTCAGAAACAGCCGATCTTATCATTTGTGTGACAGAAATTCTCCTCCTCGAAGAAATGTCGAAACTTGATTATCAAACCTGTGGATTTGTTACAGTTATTAGTTCTGAGATTAATGCGACCAAACTCATATCGGTATAACCCTAACCTTATCTAGCAAAGTTTTTTTGCGTCTCCTATCGGTGAAACCAGAGGGGACTATAGGTTTCTTCTGCGTCTGTCCTTCCGTCTGTCTCTCTAGCTGTCCCGGTGTCAGTCTGTTCCAGTTGGTTTTCCGCACTTTCTTTCCTAAACGCTTGCAGATAATGAGCTGATTTTTGGCATGTGAGTGAGTCTTGATATTTCAAAATATGTTAAAATTATGCAAAAATTATATTCATGATAGGATAAATATTTGTGAATAGTACATTGTGCATCTATCAATTAATCATATATTCTGATTACTAGTATTAGTCGTGTTCTGTAACCACAAAAATGATCTATCTACATAGGCGTTGGAACCGGGGGGGGGGGGGGTAGCCAAACCTTTTTTGCAAAGATAGACATAAGAGACATAATAAAGGCATTGAACATTGGGGCGTAGATTAAGCCTCCCATTTTCAGAAGGCACATTGAAGTTTAGGTCAGAAAAGGGTAAGTGGTGTGTTTGGAAAAAATTTGGTACTGAAAAAATGTTCGATTCTATACCCCCCCCCCCTTCCCAATAGAATTTTCGTATTTGGTTAATGAAAAAATTTCCTTCCTTTGGCTTGTCAAGTTTTTTTGTAGGTTTTGATTTTTTAATTTCTTCCACAATGATCTATCATTGAAAACCCCAATGAAACACAAACACTGGTAACTTTCTTCCATTTAAATTGAGTTTATACATGCATGCACGCATATTTTTTTTCAGATAACCATTAAAACTTTTTTAATTCTGGCAGTAGTCGCTCTATCTAGCGGACACAGAATTCACTTCCGGAACAACTGCAACAAAGAAATCTGGGTAGGGATTCTTGGCAGCACTATTCCAGACCAAGGTAAGAAATATTCAATTTGTGTCATATGACTTGAATTCAGACACTACATCGACATTCATGTTGAGTAATCCTGATCAATCCATTGTCTATGTAGGAGGGTTTAAGCTTTCCCATGGACAAAGTCACAATTCGTACTTTCCGCCTCACTGGTCCGGAAGAATGTGGGGACGAACCGGATGTGGCGGATCTCACTGTGAGACTGGGGACTGGGGTGGTGGACGACTTCATTGTAGTGGCGCTGGTGGAATCCCTCCTGTTACTCTCGCTGAAATCACATTTGACGGTGCCGGAAACCAAGACTTTTACGACATCAGTTTAGTTGACGGCTTCAATATTCCTTTGAGCATGCGCCCAAGGGCCGGAACAACAGAAGGAGCATCAGGGTCATACTATTGCCATTCTGCTGGATGCTATTTAAATGTTAATGCTGTTTGTCCCAGCGGTATGAGAATATACGGTACTGGCGGAGTTGTGGCCTGTAAGAGCGCTTGTCTTGCCTTCGGAAAACCAGAATACTGCTGCAGCGGTGCTCACAATACGCCCCAGACGTGTCCGAATTTCCACTATGCTGATATCTTTAAGAGAGCCTGTCCCCAGGCTTACAGTTACGCCTATGACGACCACAAGAGCACATTCACGTGTAGAGGCGCCGGAGGTAGACAGTCTGAATACGATGTTGTGTTCTGCGGTTAAACTATGTATGCATTTTTTTTTACCAAAATATAATATATTATCAAGACATAATCAATCTTTTTTGTGTGGTATCACTATATATGTACATGTAATGAATTTTATCCTGTGAAAATTATTTAACCTAGCACTTAAACAGTTTGTGCTATGTTTAAGAAATTTTGGATTTGAAATAGTAAATTTCAATGTATTATTTATCATTAGATATTTTGAAATTACTGTTTTTAACGATTGAAACAGTGCATATATACTGTATAAGTACTGTATAGTCAATAAAAATAATAGTGTAAAAGAGTATGGTTACCTATGATCTAAATAAAAATGACTGATTCGTTTATAAGGATATGCATGTAATTAAGGTAAAGTTTTAAGAACCGACAAGTTCAGAAATACAGCTCAAGTTCAGAAATATACTTTTTAAGTTCACATGGTTTTTTTGCACAAATTAAGGTCACATTGTTATAATTCAAAATTGTGTAGCGTGAGAACAAAATATGGTTTAACAGTGATTTATAACTTAATTTTGATCTTATTCTATTACTTTAAACATAATTCACACCTAATAATTGGTAGGATTATATGTTCTTGGATGAAAGATCATGACAGTTACCAATTGGTTTTTAAAAGATTTCTCGACAAATGCAACCATCTTTGTATCCGTTCATTTTAAAGCATACCTTTGCCTTGCCTAAATACAGAAACAGTGCAGATCATGTAACTTCTCTATTTTCTGTACATTAATATGACACTAAGGCGCAAGATGATAGAAGTATTTTTCATCTGTTCGACTGTTTTCTATGTTAAAAAGATGAAAAATTCCCAAGTCAATTTTCTGAAATCTAGCATCACGATAGATACCTTCCAACACAAAATTTAAAAGTTTCAGAACATAGATATCAAAGAATTTTCTTTTCAATAGTAACAATTTAATATATTGAAAAATAAACAATACTTTATTATCGTATCCTTTGACATGATTTCCTTATGCAGATACGTCATTTTTGGCTTTGCATTTCCACAAAACAAAGACAAGTATGTAAAATGTGCAAGGTACTTAGAAAAATACTCATCTGTAAGAAGTCAATTTGAACATTTCAACTAAATATTATTAAAGAAAGCTCGATTAATTAATTTGTAAACATCTATGTTGAAATCATAAAAGTATAACATCCTACGCTTAAAAACAAATTCCCTTTTAAAATGTCGACTTTTAAAACTTAAGATAATTATTGTCGAGTGAATGCACCTTTAAAATGAAATATTTTGTAAGGGTAATGTCTGGTACTGAAGCTCGATAAACTTAAGTTTTCTTGCACGAAAAATGTGACCTTAATTTGTACGAAAAACCATGTGAGCTTAAAAAGTTCATTGAGCTGTATATGGTCTTGATCATTATCATTATACAAAATCCGCGCTATCTTGGATGACCATTGACCAGATAATAGATAGGGCACACTGACGCTAGAGGTTATCTCTTACCAATAGTCTTCGGAAAAACAAGTTTGAAATAAGAAACAAGTGTAACTAAATTCTTTTCAGCCAATAAGGGGTATAAGTATTTTCTAAGTTCCTTAATATTATACAGATTGAAGCTAATGAGTTTTAAATTAAGGTTCTTTGTTCTATACATTAAGGTTTATTGCTTTTTGTACATGCAAGAGGAATAACTCTATAATTTGTCATATTATAGTATTCCTATTTTTACCAGATTTTAAATTTCTTGTATAATGTACATCATCGTATAAAATAATGTTATTTGAAGGGGCTGGGGGTTGTGGCCATGTTCAGACTATTTTGACTTCCTTTAGAAGAAGAGATCCATATAAAGATATCCAAAAATGATAAAATTTTATAACTAAAATGTGTGAATTTTTTTCTTTGCCAAATGATAATTGACAGCATTAGTTATCAATAAGTTATATCTGGTGGTTAATTTGTTGACCCCCGGCCTCCTTAAAAGACTTTGTCAAGACTTACTGACAGCAATCCGAATGTATATGCGTCATTTGTATGTGAATGCAGCAGTTTCATAATTTTTTATGCTAATTTGCTGTCCTATTGAAATTGAGTTCAGGTTACTGTGATTTGTAGCATAACAATGGTTTTTAACCCCTATTTAGTTCAAAGAGTGATTAATTTATGAAAAGGGTACTCACAATCATATTCATAAATGATAAGGTGGCTACTGCCGTCGTTAGAGAAATTCAGGAAACAAGGTTTCTAAGATAACCCCGGATCGCTCCCATGGTAAAAATAAGGATTTCCAAGACTTTATTGCACAACTATATATAGAGCAATTTCCTGTTAGATCGTATGATCGGCCAATCACCTATAGTTCCAGTTTAAATTGTAAGATGTACAACAAACTGTAAAAATTTACAGATTCAAATGTAAATTTTACAGATTAAAGTATGAATTTTACACTTTAATGTGTACAATTTACACATGAATGTGTATAATATTTACAGATTAAAGTGTAAATTTTACAGATTAATGTGTACAATTTACATTTTAATGCGTGAAATTTCAAATTAAAGTGTAAAGTCTACAGATTAAAGTGTAAAAGTATACTTTAATTTTTCTTTTTAAGTTAAGTGGCACTAATACGCTTCCGTATCGAAGAAATGAGATTGCTACTGCTTGAAATGTGGCATCGTCTCAAGCCACGGTCTGGAGTCCGCATTATAGCTCTCTCCTAATGGGAGAGGATCGTACATTTTGGCCGTGGTTTGCGACGATGGAAATGTGGTTGATTTGAATAAAACAGAGGGACGGATACGGATAACAATATATCCGGGGTATTTCTGTAGAGTGTGGGGGTATAAAAATGATAATATGTTTACTTTACAAAAAAGTAACTCTTCAGTAAAACTTATGACTTCTTACACGTGTATTGTGCAGGCGCCAAACCTTGGTTTTACATAGTTTCAAGTAAGCAAATTAAAGTTAAATGCAAGGTTGATTTAATGTTAATCAATTTTTTTTTTCAAACTGGTTTTGGTATATATAGAATGTCAGTAAAAAAAAATTATTTAAATTTCTAAACACTTTTAAAATGTTAAATTTTTTATTAAATCTCTCCTTAAATATTTAAAATTCAAGTTTCTTAAAATGATTTTGGTATTTTTAACTTTTGAGTTTTCAATCTATCGTTCGTATTGAGAGTTTGAAACAAGAAAATCGAAAGTTCAGTTCTATTTTACGTCATCTGATATGTCAAAATTTACTCCAAACTGCTAAATAGACTAAAAACTCTAAAGTATCAAATACCAAGTCCGCTTTGCATAAAAAATTTGAATATTCAGGGTAAAAATCCTATACATGACACGATATGTAGATCTGTTAATATAATACACAGTTTCCACTCGTTGTTTTAAAATTTTATTTTGTATAATTGACAAACTGATGAGAATGGTTGAAGGTATTAGTTATCTAGATATAGTCTATACCGATTGTCTAATAACGTGGTCTTCGCCGCCTTCGTTGGGGTGTCGGGCGGAAGGATCCTTGATTAAAACCGCCGGAACCAGAGCCGAAGCTCGAACGTCGGTTACCTCCGCTACTCCACTGAGATCCGCTAATGAAATCTTGCTGACCAAAACCGGAATCAAATCCGCCATTATCCCATGACGAAATTGAAGAGCGGGCAAAACTGTTGCCTTGACCGCCTAAACCTCCAAACCTGTCGGAAGAAATTCCATCAAACGTGGAAATTCCTAACTCTGAATTGTCAATCCCGAGGCTATTGGCGGAAAGACCCGAACCTAATGCCGGAGCTCCGATGAAATCGGCCTGAAAACCACCGACATCTCCGAGCTGGTTCCCAAAATCAAAACCGTTGTTGAAATCACGCCCACCGTTGTTGAAGTCACCCCCAAAGAAGTCACTGCCCCCGAACCTGCCGTTTCTCTGGCAGTAGGAGAGCGTCAGGAAGCAAAGAGCTATAAATACCCGCAGCATCTGTGTATAAAGGAATCAATTCATCAAAATTCAAATTTCAAAATGCTGTGTTTAAGTACAATGTAATTTAAAAAAATTAAATGGCTACATGTACAATCATACACACAAAAAGTTAAAAATGCATTGTAGTAATATATGTTATACTAGTATCAGATTATGTTCCTTTTATCAAAGTGAAAAAGGGTGTAAAACGACCATTATCAAAATCAATTCTTTTTTCACTTTTTTTAAATTTAATTTTTTTTCAAAATATTGTTTACAACTTTTTTTAAGGTTCATCATTATATATAAAGATTGTTTTTTAAATTTATTTTTTGATAATTTTAAAGAAAATGTAGGGGGGAAAATTATAAAACGAATTATATATATAATTTTCAAATAAACTTACCTTGGAAGTGAACTACACTGACAGAAGTCAACGGTATTGTGGAAAAAATCCCAATAAAGGTTTTATACCATTAACAACTATAAACAGCGAGTTGCACTTCGCTCATCTGTTAACGAGGCGAACTGATTGATGACAAGTCGGAGTAAACACTTAAATGGGCTTCCATAAAACGCCCATTTTCCTTCTGTTGACCTGCAAGCAAAAAATCTGCAGAATTCTATTTCTGAAGTAATTATCGTAAACTATACTCACATAAATAATAAACAATGATGAATGGACTCGCCGACAAAGCGGTACATCGTGTTCGGATGTTAATATTGTCGTAAAATGGAGGACAGGAAATCAGTTTTTCTGCATTTAACACGTGTTTGAATAATGTTCCTTATCAATATTGTTGTGAAATATCAGTAGGTCAGTTTTATGTTAATGAGTTGGTTTTAATTGTAATTAATTTTGTGTGTTACACAGCGACTTACGGGTATGAAAAAAATAACGATAAATTATATTTTGGAATAATTCTAATTAATATATTTGCGATTACATGTTCTACTGAAGAGGATTAAAAATCCCTTGAGGGTTTTTTCTTCCTTTCTTTGGTCACAAATATTTGATTTCCATGCATTTTGATGTCTACATTTGCATAATTATACAACTTCTAAAATAGGAAATTATTACTTGGAAATCGGATATTGTTAGACCAAAATTCAATAAAAGTAATGTTGCGAATACTTTTGTTTAGAGGTATGTAAAATAAAACCTGTTATTGGAAAAAAATATCTTAATTTGCCTAAAAATGCGTTAAGAACTTTCTAGTACAACTTATAATTATGTTTTTTTAATATTCCCCGAATTTATTCTACAATTATTATTATTTCTTTTGAACACAGCAAGCGGGAACATAGCATCACTGTTGAAAGGTGGGAGGGGCAGCCATAGGAAAATAAAATTCAACCTACCTGAAAATTTTTAAACAAGAAAAAAGTATTATAATCATAATTATTTCATAGAGGAATGGGGGTGATAACCTGGAAAGAACTGTGGGAAGACTGGTAGCCCCCTTCCATCTTGATATTACGTGACTGGCAAAATTAAAATCATATCTGACTTGAAAAGGAGGCATACATTGCCACTGACAATGGTTTTCTTGGGGAGGTTCAAAATTTTCAATGTCATCGTCAACGACTCGTATATACAGCATTTAAATGTATTACCAAAATTATCTTTATACTTTACTTACTTTTTCTTTTTTACTTCATATAATATCTGTCCTCTGAAAATTCAATCCTGGTAAAAACTGGCATAGAAACTCATAGATTAAGCCTGTTTCCTCATGTACTTTGTGAAAGTTGTAAGCTTTTTCTGCCATTGGAGTTGAATTTTAATATTGTGTGTTTTAAGGAAGGATCATTTGATGGGCATACACATGGGCTGTTCAATAAACAATGTCCTGAACTCTATGACATACAACACGGATATCATATGTCATTAAGCTTGGCTTTCTCTTGTGGTTGAAACTAGAAAGAAATTAAACGCTTCATGAAAGCTGCTGTAAAACTTGTTAAGAATCCCCCAAAATATTGACTGATATTTGTGAAATTTACAGCAACCAATGTCTGTCTTTTAGACACATGAGCAGGTGGATTTCAATAAAAAATAATGATGTAATGGTCATCAAAATTTGGCACCGTCCTTGGCAACAAGGACCTACAATACCCAATGTTCTGTATGCCAAAATTCAACAAATTATCACTTATGATGTTTGATTGACTTTAAGACACCTTGCAAATTTGATAGACATCGATTTGGGGGCAGTTCACTCTATTTTAAAGAAACATTTGACAGTAAAAAAGCTGGAGTGGTCAATGGTCACCCCATGTTTTGAAAATTGAGTAAAAAATCAGAAAATGTAGTTTGAAATTCAAACAGATAATGAAACTTGAATCCATTGCTTTAACACGTTTAAACCCTCAAAACAAAACAATAAGATACACTTGACAAAAACATCAAAGGTCTGAAAAGAGTAAAGAATTGCAAGCGAAAAAAAAGACAGTTTTATATGCCATTTTCTTAAATATTAGTGGTTTTGATGTTCAAATTCTTATTCGGGGAGGCAGTTTAATTTCTGGAGGAGTTTAGAAAGCAAAATGTTAGCGAAAAAATCAAAAGTTTTATGAAAGTAAGGAACCAGAATGAGGAATTCACTAGATTAAATTTATTCTTGACAGCGTCCAAAGACTCCAAACCCACACTCCCTGAAGAGTAAAGGTGGTTTGGGGATAAACACTAAGTTAATGTTTTGTCACACCAACAATATTCACCAGATCTGTCACCCTTTGACTTGGTTCATTTTCCAAACTTGAAAGAGAAACACCATTCAGAAAGAAGAAACAAGTACATAAAATCATAGGATCTGCCATATTCCACTTTACGAAGGGCCATATTCAAAAACGTGTTTTAAAAACAATCTGAAATTGTATAAAAATGTTTCGGGCATGTTGTTTAATTAAAAGAGAATATTTGAGTTAAACAATTAAGACTAAATCATTGAAAAGTGTCTTCTTTCCGAGCATCGAGGACATTATTTATTGAACAGCCCTCGTACGTGTCTAACTCTCTGGCTTGTTTTTTTCTCTCTATCTCTGTATCAAAATTCTAGTAAGTTTAGGTTTTTTCTGTGTGACTGGTTTCTACTGTTAATCAAAGCTTGATTTAATTCTATAAAAAGAAAGAAGTATTTCGATTGAAAAAAATGAAGGTAACATCAGGTATGATTTAACAGACAGACCTTGTTTCATGCAAGTGACGCAGGTATAGGCGTTAATGATAAAGAAGAATTTTCAGAGTCATGTCATTTATTTCTAAACAAAAAGCACACAAAGGTAAAGTCGTGATTGGGGGACCATCTCAACGTCAGGACCGGAAGCTGTTGGCGTCGGTTAATCTATAAATAGATACAGGTTTATATGATTAAAAAATGACATAAACAATGCATATTAGTTGATTAATAATTATTTTGTGTATCATTTAAAGAAATATAATCTATTTCCTATAGGAGCAAAAACTCACCAAAAATGGAGTAGGAGGCATCCAGTTTTTAGAGATCCGTGAGTTTAATACCCAGACCTCCTGCGGGAGGGGCGGCGTGGTCGTTGGCGCCGGTTGTTTCTACGCCTGGTAATGGCGGGCTGGGTAGCGATATACTCATCCTGGTTTGGATCGGACACGACGGGCCTCCTGTACACTGGGCGGCGGGTGGGCTCCGGGTAGTCGTACTTTCTGGGGTACTTGGAGCTGTAATCGTACTTCTTCTGGTACCTTCTTCTGTATTTACTGTTGTCGTATGACTTTTTGGAGGGGTACTTTTTGTCGTAGGAACCTTTCTGGTATTTATTTGGCATGACCTGGTCGTATTTTGGCTGATACTTATCCATGGGTTTGTAATTGTCGGCCATTTTGTCGTATTTACCAGGCAAGATGTTCATGACTTTGTCGACCATGGGATAATTTTCGTTCTTGTCATACCTATTGGGGAAAACATCCACCTTATTATCATAAGCCTTTTTGTCATTTTTGGCTGGGAAAGTATCTATACCTTTCTCAAACTTTGCTGGATAAATATCTGGGACTTTTTCATAATTTTGATACTTGTCGTATTTCCCTGGATCCAAGGTGTTGTCGTATTTTGGCTGATATTTGTCAACTGGGTATTTGTCGATTGGATATTTGTCTACTGGATATTTATCCAATGGTAATTTGTCTGCTGGATATTTATCCACTGGATACTTGTCCACTGGATATTTATCAACTGGGTACTTGTCGACTGGGTATTTGTCCACCTGATTCTTGTCGAGTGGATATTTATCAACTGGATATTTGTCGAGTGGATATTTATCAACTGGATATTTGTCGACTGGATATTTATCCACTGGATACTTGTCTACTGGATATTTATCCACCGGGTACTTGTCTACTGGATATTTATCAACTGGATACTTGTCGACTGGGTATTTATCAACTGGATATTTGTCTACTGGATATTTATCAACTGGATATTTGTCCACTGGGTACTTGTCAACAGGATATTTATCAACTGGATATTTGTCCACTGGATACTTGTCAACAGGATATTTATCCATGGGATACTTGTCTACTGGATATTTGTCGTAATTGGATGGAAACTTGTCTTGAAACTTATTGTCAAGGAAGACATCCATTTTTTTGTCGAACTTACCAGGATACATGTCTACCTTTTTATCCATTTGTCCTGGGAAGACGTCCATTTTCTTGTCCATTTTTGGCTGGAAGTTTTGGACATTTTTGTTCGTCGGTCCTTGATCCATGGGTCTTCTGGGTTGGAAGTTAGGGTCAACAATGATGGTTTGGCTCTCATCATTATCGAAAGCTCTGGTTTCAATGATACCAACACCCCTCTGAACTGTTCCAAAATCTGTCTGAACATCAAACGGTTGTCCCACAACGTCGAGGCCTTGGATCTGTGCAACTCCGCGACCAGTGTCGAATCCTGAAGGCATTCCGCTGTCGAATCCAACGACAGCGACTGTATCAAATGTGTTAGGAGCGTTTGAAAAACCACTCCCGCCCCCGGTAGCGAAGGGTATGTCAGAAGCCATGTTGGGACTAAAGCTGTTTCCGGGGACCTGGAACGTATTGGCACAGTTTGGGTCTCGAGGATCGCATGGTTGCTGCTGACAAAGAGTTGAGGATAGGAACAAAAGGGAAACCACTATCGACAACATCTGGAAATAAAAAAATCAGTGGAATAGAATATATATCTATAAAATATGACTACGGATTATTCAATTATCAGTAGCTCTCAGTATTAACGTGTTTATTATCCTACATCAAGAATCAGATTATATTTCAAATTTTAAAAAAATATTGTAAAAATTAAGAATCTTTAAATCATAGATAAAAACGTTTCTGGTAGTTAATACACGAAATCTCACCTCTCTTCAGCTTGGTGATCTACTTTGCAATAGATACCATATGCAAATGTCTCTCCTTTTATATATATTGTAAAACTATAAATATATACCATAATTCTGATATGCAAATAGAACAAATATCTGTAGAAACCCAAAGATGACCGCCATTTTATTATCAATAATTAATAACAAACCTGATGTTTAAGAGCACAAGAGAATTAAATATGCATATAAGCAACCAAAGATATTTAACATGAAAAGTTAAGCCGTTAGACTGGAACCCTGCTGACCACCTGTGGCTCATGAAATATTGCTTATTAATTTTGTATGTCTAAATAAGGTTCACATGTCAATAAATTTATGAAAAGTATTCCTTCATAATAATATTTTTTCCTTCCAATTGAGAGACAGAGGATTGCCGAGTAATTCTGCAGGTGTATATGAGCAATGTACGCCTTTAATGTCTGGTCTAATGTGATTCATGGTGTTTTGTCGACTATATATCGGAGTTCTACAGATTTATCGCAGAAATTTGTCCGAAACTAAAAAAAAAAAAAAGTATCAATCGTGTGAGTAATGAAGTAATGTGCGAGCCATTCCCTATTTGAAAATTGATTTAAGATCGGAGGATGATAATATGTACATTTAATTGTTTTTTTCCCTTTTAAAATAGATAACTTAAAGAAAAGAACCTATATGAAGATGTTTAGCGACAAAAAGGACTGTATTATTTAAAATGTGCTTTAATGTAGTGCATGCATCTCCAATATTTATAAAACTGACATTTTATACATTTTTACATGTAAAATTTCCCCCACTTATACATGTAGATCATCCAAAACCCAATGAAAATTTGTAATACACTTTGTTATTTTATAAATGAAAAAAAAAATTATGAAAGCTTCTATTTCTTTTTATTTTTGAGACGAGATGTAAATTTTTAACGTGTAATTAATCAAATTAAATTAATAAGTAAAATTTTCATTAATGATCAAAATCGTTCAGGATTGAATCCACTTTTGTCTCTAAAGCATTTGGTGACATTTCTCCCTTGTATTTGAAAGGTGCATTTATCCTAACACGAATGATTTTTCAACAGAAATTAAAGGAGATGGGTGAACATGACGAGAGATAAGCCCAAAGCGCGACAAACATGAAAGTGAAAAATTAAATCTCAATTATATCAAAATTTTCCTTAATATTTCATCTAACATTAAAGTATACTTTATGTAAAACTTCTACAACTTGCACAGATATCATGAAGATTGAAGTTATTTGCCTATGAAATATCATACACACAAGAAAGAGGACAAAATGTCATTTTTCCACACTGTAACACTATTTTTAGATATAAGTGGGTCTTCTCTCCATTTTTTTGAAAGTTAATCCTTAAAGTTTGTATACAAACATACATACTTTGTTTTCCAAAAATGGAGCAAAGACCCACTATACCTTAAAAATATAATTTTATGACATAACTTTCGTATCTTTTCGAGAAGTCCCTTAAGTCAATAGTCATATCACAAACATGATTGAATGCTACGCTTGATCAGGACTTGTGTAGCGTAGTGGTTAGCTTGTAAATAAGAATGATATTTTAATTAATTACCATATTTATTTTTTTTATATAAAAAGAATAAATTTTAACGAAAATTTTTCCTCAGAACTTTTTGTTTCTCATGATTTACTTAAATACTAAATTAACAATTTGAATATGATTTTTATATATCTGAAGCTAGTGGGCTTTCTGCACGCTAAGTTCACCCATCTCCTTTCAATAAAAATATGTAATTCAACTATGGCTTGCAGGATTTATTTATGACAGAAATGGCTCATTAAATTTGAAAAAAATTGCACATGTAAACATTTAGAATAAGGGCATATTTGATTTATCTAAGTGAATGTTATCTTCCTTATCAGAGGATCAATGTACCTTAAATTCCATTGTAAAATCATTAACAAATATTAATTTAAAATACAAATAAATAAATAAGGTTAATTCCTACCTTATAAGTAAATAATAATATTTATGTTCTCCTCATGGCTCATAATCAAGTGATTTTAAGCGAGTGATTTCCTTATTTATAAGATAGCAAAATTTAAACCTTCAGATTTCGTAAGGAAAGGAAGATTAGTTAACATATCATTAGTTAATGACCAAAAATACGTTTATTTCCAAAATTAAGGAAAGTTACAGAGAGATTAGCTCCCTTGACAATTATAATAAAGAAATAGAGAAAAGATTCATTTTAAGACATAGATTTATACAAGCACATACAATGATTTCAATCGAAAACGATTTTCTTTGTCGATTATTTGCCAAATTTAGAAGCAGAATTTAGTGCTTATCAGTTGACATGGATATGATGATAAGTTTTAATAATAATATATTCCCGGCAACTAGTACATGTATATCTTAGCAAGGAAAGGTTAGCATAAAGAACATGTCTGAGACCATCTTCTTTTGTCTGCTTGCTAGTGTCTGGGGCGTGGCCTTAGGCGGGGATAAAATGTACACCGAACAGTTTGTTATAACTCTAATGGAGAAGATAGATCGATTGGAGAAGGAATTTTCAATATTTAAGGAGGAAACTACCACCAAATTACAAGAATTCTAAACCAGATTGGAACATTCGGACCAAATGGTGAAGGACCTAGGAGATAGACTGCGGCTGTCTGACAAGAAGGTGGGTGAACTCACGAGAGATTTGGAGCACTCTGGAGTTGTTTTACAGGGACTGGTGAAGCAGCGCCATGATAAATCTGACAAGGAGTACCCCTTCCCCCCAGATGAACAGAGAACGAACAATACCAACCTAAATTATAACAAAGTACAGAAAAATGTTGTGCCTGGAGGAATAAGGGAGTCGCAAGGTATGTTACACACCATCATGTTTCTTGAATGCCGAACTAGCTGAAGAAAGTTTGTATCTTTATCAGTTACAAACTTCTTAATTATAATAGAGATACAAAATATAAAAAAAAATTTTAATGGCAAAAAAAAAACCTTTCAAAAAAATGGCAAAAAAAAAACAAACAAACAACAACAACATTTTTAAAAAAAAAAAAATGTGTTTAAACTAAGACACATAAGTCACTTTAAGTGGAAAAAAATAATGATAGAAATGTATTTAAAAATTAAGAAGGAAAGAATTTAAAATTGTATGCATTCAGATTTCAGATACGTTTTTGAATTTACTTTCACTACAATCCATTTGGTTACTAGTACTACATGTAGAAAAAAGCTTATTACAGTAATTAATAAAATAGCACTTATAGCAGCTTAGTGGTAAGTAAATGCAACAAATGTTTAGTGACTGTCAATTCAGTACATCTAAGTAAAAATACATTGAAAAATGTTTAATACTTTCAGATCGTTTCCAAAGACTTTTAATTCCGGCGACACAACTTCCTTCGGTTGCTTTTTATGCACACGCAGCTGGTCATCAAAACGGGCTTGGCGCGGGACAGACCATCAAATACCCCACCGTCGTTACCAACGTTGGCAATGGATTCGATCCCAAAGTTGGAATATTTCGAGCACCCGTAGCAGGTGTTTACTTCTTTACTACAACACTGATCAGTGATCGTGGAGAGACTGTCCGAAGCACCATCGTCCATAATAATCAAAATATGGCATACGTTTTTGCGGGAAATGAAGGAACTCACGGATCCGGATCAAACTCTGTCGTGCTGCATTTGATGTCTGGACACTTGTTCACAACACAAACTCCCATGTGTTTGCTGATTCCTGGTGCACATTTTCTGGATTTCTGATCTCAAATTAAAGTATTTGAAAATGAAATCTGTAATAGAAAGTCTATTCATTCCAAAGATACTTGCTCTTTGAATTATAGATATTTTTAAGTAAAGAAAACGCAATAAAATATTGTTAAGGTGTGTTAGTGATGAAGCAATAAAGATTAATGATATGTGAGGGTGTGCGTTGTGTGTGTGTATGCACTTCGACTACATGGGGCCCGAGTAGGCCTAATTAACTCAGGCTCCTGGTAATCACATAGTTTACGGTATTAAAACGAAAAATTAAACGTTTATACGTTAAAAAAAAATTAAAAGCTTTTCAATTTAATTTTACATTGCAAATATGTTGTATATGTATAATATATATCTAGTGGAATATTTTATAAAATATCAAGTTTCAAATCTACATATCAACAAAGAACACAGTAATTTCTTATCAGTGTGTATGGGCTTGGTTACATACCACTTACTATCATTATCAAAGACCTGAAAACTAGTATTTTGTCAGAATAATTAAGGGAGAACTGAATAAATGGAAGAAAATGTAAAGAATTTATATATTTTAATATTTGTACGTGCTTGCATATGACTATGGGTGATGACAGATGGTATTCTAAGCAATCTGTAACGAATCTAATTCAAAAACAGGAATTTGTTCAGTATAAGAAGAAAATTAGCGCAAATAAAATTTTAGGCCAAACTTCAGCAGTTGGGTAAGAGTGTGGATGAACTAGATGAAACACTAAAGCAAGGACAAACTGGTATTCAAATATGGCCATGTTTATACAATGCATGGTGTACTTTTTTCTGGATTTCTAATCTCAAATTAAAATATTTTGAAACGTTATGTGAGTATCTCGTTTATTACCTGAAAAAAAGATGAACATAAAGAATATAATGGTCGCCTTCATAAGTCCTTAATAAATACATTAAAAATTGTTTATACTAGGGATAAATAACGGGACCCTGGAATACAAAGATCGGTCGGATCATGTCGAATGGGGAGTAAGGATTCTCTATTAACCGGATCACAGCCGTAGGCTATTGATCCGGTCAAAGGTTAATCTAGTCAAATTATAGCCTAACAATTTGTATGTTAATCGATTCCGATAGGCACTTAAATTGTGCTCCATTTATAGGCGACCTATTTTGATATTCCTATGAAGCAGAATTTATTCAAAAACTTGCACACAAGAAAAAGGAAAGACATTTACTTACTGTGGTCCTCAACTCGAGATTTACTAATATCGACGATGTTCATGTATTATAAAATAAAAAAAAATGGAACTTGAAAAAAAAACACCACAGACTCTACCATATTTGTTTCAGATTCAGTTATCTTTTCCATGTTCAACTCTTCTGAATTGTGAAGAAATACAGTATTTCGCTACCACCTGCATATGATGTTTTTTAAAATTTCTGACTTACTAGCATTAATTCGATTCTCAAGAGCAAGTTCCAAGGATAATAAATTTTTAAACCGAGGAATGTTACTAGCAACATAATTGTTAAAAGCAACCTTGTTAAAAGCCTGAATTCGTATATTCTACGGTCAGTATAAGAATTATTCGGATATAAAATCCATTATTTTGTCTGTATATTTTTTGGTTGATTTGTTTCTTATGTTCAAGGTGAAGGTAATGACCAGTGATCGATCTATAAAAAAAATCAGTAAACAATACAAATATGTGAAGGGGATATAAAACACGGACCCCTGACAGTTCCAAAGGAGGTGGGATCAGGCGTCTAAGAGGAGTAAGTTCAATTGTAAATCATTTTCAAAACTCATATACAAATACTAGTAAATAAATAAAGTTAATTGCTACCTTGTTTATTCAATCCATGGCTCAAGTGATTTCGTTTTTTGTAAGATAGCAAAAACATTCGGATTTCGTAAGGGGAGCAAGGTTAGTTAACTTGATGTTGTTTGCCAATTTTGACACGTTTGCATGCATATATGCACTATACAGTTGATGACCAACAATACGTTTATTTCCAAACCCAAAATTAAGGAAAATTACAGAGAGACTGGCTCCCTCGACAAATAATTTAAAGACAAACAAAGAAATATACATGAATTAAAGAAATATAGAAAAGCTTCTGTTTTTTAAAAAACATAGATTTACACAAGCACATATTAAATTCATTTGAAAGGAAAACGATTTTTCTTTGTCGATAATTTGCCATATTTAGAAGCAGTAGGGATTAAGTGCTTATCAGTTGACATGGATATGATAAACAGTTTTAATAGTGCCCATCTTGATCTCGACAATAAAATTATAGCAAAGAAAGGGGACCATAATGAACATGTTGGGAGCGATCTTCCTTTGTCTGCTTGCTAGTGTCTGGGGTGTGGCCTTAGGCGGGGATAAAATGTACACCGCACAGTTTGTTATAACTCTAATGGAGAAGATAGATCGCTTGGAGAAAGAATTCTCCCTGTTTAAGGAGGAAACTGCCACCAAATTACAGGAATTCCAAACCAAATTGGAACATTCTGACCAAACGGTGAAGGAGCTAGAAGATAGACTGCAGCTGTCTGACAAGAAGGTGGGCGAACTCACGCGAGATTTGGAGCACTCTGAGTTTGTTTTACTGGAGCTGGTGAAGCAGCGCCAGGGTGGATCTAATAAGGATTACCCATTCCCTCCAGATGAACAGAAAACGAACGATACCAACCCAAATTATAACGAAATACAGAAAGCTGCTGTTCCAATAGAAATAAAGCAGTCACAAGGTATGTTAGCTTCATTTACGTCCAACTGGTTTCTCGAAAGCCATACAAGCAGAGGAAAGCTTGTTTCTTTAAACTTCATAATTGGGATAAAATTCAAAAAAAAAAAAAATTATCAAGACTTTAAAAATATTGGCATTCAAATGTTCAACACCTACATGTAGTAAAATGAGTTTCAAATTAAGAAATTATATATATCCCCTCGCTCAAAAAATCAAAGGTCGAACATTAAAAATCAAGTCTGGACCTTAGAAAAAGAGGATTCAGTAGAAGAAAATTCAAAAACCTCTGGAGATTAGTAGTTCATTGCATCAAAGTTCATTTCCTGCGTGACGCAGTGATAAATCTAGATTTGCTTAGTAAGGAATTTATTCTTACCTTGCGGGTTGGGACGTGGAGACGGGTCTTTTGGATGAGACCATATAAACTTAGGTCTCGTGTTGCAGAAGTTGCTTGCACGAAAAAGATCCCTCAGTGCTCAATGGCCCTTAGTTCAAAGAGATCAAAATGCAGCTCTCCACTGGCAAGTGATGGCGTCTCCACATGAGTGAAAAATTCTCGAGAGGAACGTTAAACAACTAACAAAAAACAAAAACAAGCCGGCAAAAGTTTTATCGATTATGTATTTATAATGTATAACACAATAAAAGTTGAGTAAAACGTAAGGTCACAATGCTTTTTCAGGTATTTCAAAGAGACTTTCAATTTCTGAGGCTGCAACAGCAACACCGAAAGTCCATTCCTCGATTGCTTTTTATGCGCATGCATCTGGCAGCCAGACAGTTATAGGTATTGGACACACTATATACTACAAAACTGACATCACCAACGCTGGCAACGGGTTCGATTCCAAAACTGGCGTTTTTCGGGCACCTGTCGCAGGCTATTATTACTTCAGCTCAACGTTGGTCAGTGGAGCTGCAGAAGCTATTATGGCCAGTATCGTCCATAACAGCAATGATGTGGCAAATATTTTCGCGGGAAATGAACAGACGTTTGGATCTGGGTCGAACTCTGTTGTGCTGTACCTTAATATTGATGATAATGTCTGGATTCGGAGTCAAAATATGAATCCCCATTCTTATGTAGAAGCATGGTGTACTTTCTCAGGATTTCTTATCTCAAATTAAAATATTTTGGAACGTTATGTTAGTATTTCTATTATTTCCTGAAAAAAGATTGACTTATATTAACGAATAGTGGTAGTCTTCATCAGTCCTTGAACATTACAAATTGTTTAAAATAGGGATAGACCACGGAGCCCTGGAATACAAAGACGGGATCATGTCGTAGGGGTGTTGGGGGGATGGGGGGGGGGGGGGGGTAAGCATTCTCTGTTAATCGGATCACAGTCACAGTGCATTGATCAGGTGAAAGGGATATTCTAGTCAAAATTATAGCCTAACAATTGGTATGAAACGAAGTTTAATTTAATCGATTCCGATAGGTATTAATTGTTCTCAATTTATATACCAGTCGACCTACATGTATATTAATATTTATATGAAGCAGTATCTGTTCAATAACTTACATACGAGAAAAAGAAAATACTTGTTGTGGCCCTTAACTCAAGATTTAGTAATTTCAACGATGTACTATAAAATAAAAATACCACAGACAACAGAGACTCTGCCATGTTTGTTTCATGTTTAGTCATGCAGCGTTTCCATCTTCAACTATTTCGCTATCACCTGCATACAATGTTTTTCTTCCTACCGTATTCGATTCTCAAGAACAAGTTTCAACGATAATAAATTTTAAACCAATGAATGCTGCTAGCCGAAAAGTTAATACTATAGGAATTTCAACAACCTCATTTAAAGCCAGAATTTGTATATTCTATGGTGCGTATAATAAAATTAATCGGATATAAAAACCCATAATTTTTTTTTCGTGTTTTAGCTGATTTGTTTCCTATGTATTAGGTGAAGGTTATGACCAGTGATCGATCTATAAAAAAATCAGTAAGCAATACAAATACGTGAAGGGGACAAAAAACAAGGACCTCTGACAAATCCAGAGGTGGTGGGATCAGGCGGTTAAGAAGAGTAGGTTCAATTGTAAAATCAATTTCAAAACTCAAATACAAATAAATAAATAAAGTTAATTGCTACCTTGTTTATCCTCCTCGTGGCTCAAGTGATTTCAAGCAAGTGATTTCGTTTTTTATAAGATAGCAAAACATTTGGATTTCGTAAGGGGAGCAAGGTTAATTTACATGATGTTTGCCAATTTTGACAACTATGCATGCATATATGGACTATACAATTGATGAACAACAATACGTTTATTTCCAAACCCAAAATTGAGGAAACTTCAGAGAGACTGACTCCCTTGACAACTAATTTAATGACAAAACAAAAAAAATATACATGTATTAAAGAAATATAGTAAAAGCTTCTGTTTAAAGCATAGATTTACACAAGCACATACATTCATTTTAAAGGGAAACGATTTTTCTGTGTCGATAATTTGCCATATTTAGAAGCAGTAGGAATTAAGTGCTTATCAGTTGACATGGATATCATAATCAGTTTTAATAGTGTCCATTTTGATCTCGATAATAAAATTATAGCAAAGAAAGGTGACCGTACTGAACATGTTAGGGGCAATCTTCTTTTGTCTGCTTGCTAGTGTCTGGGGCGTGGCCTTAGGCGGGGACAAAATGTACACTGAACACTTTGTTATGTCGCTGGTGGAGAAGATAGATCGCTTGGAGAAGGAATTCTCCCTATTTAAGGTTCATAAACCCTTTGCTTATTCATATAAAATGTTTCTTTAACTTTTATAATTTTCCAAAAGAAAAGTACATGTATAGAATAGAATTCCAAACCAAATTGGAACATTCTGACCAAACGGTGAAGGAGCTAGGAGATAGACTGCAGCTGTCTGACAAGAAGGTGGACGAACTCATGAGGGATTTGGAGCACTCTGAGGTTGTTTTACAGGGGCTGGTGAAGCAGCGCCAGGGTGGATCTGATAGGGAGTACCCATTCCCTCCAGATGAACAGAAAACGAACAATATCAACCCAAATCATAACAAAGTACAGAGAGTTGCTGCTCCAGTAGAAATAAAGAATTTGCAAGGTACGTTGCTTTCATACGCCCATCCGTCATGTTACTCGAAAGCCGTACAAGGAGAATAAAGTTTGCATCTTTGAACTATTATTTATAATAGGGATAAAAAGTTTTTAAAATTTATAGACTTCAATAAATGTGGCACCCAAATTTACAACAGCTCTTTGTAGTAAAAAACGTTTTGAATTAAGACACATAAGTCACTTTTGAGAAGAGAGAAAATAATGCCAAAGAATTTGAATGCATACATTGAGAGTATAGTAGTTACGTTTTAGAATATATTGATTTATAAAAAATTAAATGTTATTCATTATATGTATTAAGTAAAAGAAATGACGATTTGTGACGATTGAGTTAGTATTACTGATTAAAAATACAGCAAGACTTTTTAAAACTTTCAGATCGTTTCCAAAGACTTTTAATTCCGGCGACACAATTTCCACAACTTTCTTCGGTTCTGATCATCAAACCGGGCTTGGCACGGGACAGACTATCAAATATCCCACGGTCATTACCAACGTGGCAATGGATTCGATCCCAAAGTCGGAACATTTCGAGCACCTTTGGCAGGTGTCTACTTCTTTACTACAACACTTATCAGTGGTGCAGGAGAGACTGTCCGAAGTAGCATCGTCCGTGACAATCATGATATGGCACACGTTTTTGCGGGGAATGAAGGAACTTTTGGATCCGGATCAAATTCTGTTGTGCTGCACTTGGACGCCAACGATGATGTCTGGACACGTGTTTCCTATGACACAAACGCTCATGTTTATGCTGATTCCTGGTGCACATTTTCTGGATTTTTGATCTCAAATTAAAATATTTGAAAATGAAATCTGTAATATAGTCTTTTCATAATACAAAAGATATTGACTAAAATGTGATATATTAAAAAAATTTTTTTTAAGATATAACAACGTAGAAAAACTGTGTGTTATTAAAAACACTGATTTGTATGATAATGTTTGTGTGTTGTGTGCGATTAATTGTGATGTGTGTGTGAATTTACATATAAGTGCTTATCAGTTGACATGAATATACTGTATGATAAAAAGTTTTAATATATTACTGGCTACTTGTATATCTTAGCAAGGAAAGGTTACCATAAAGAACTTTTGAACATTTTCTGCTTTCTAGTTTCTGCAACCGTGGCCAATTTCGGGGATAAATTTTGCACAAAACTTTGTTATGTCGCTGGTAGAGAAGGGAGAACAAAAATTGTGAATAAGGATCCCTGCCACCAAATTACAAGAATTCCAAACTAAATTGGATCATTGGACCAAACGGTGAAGGGCCAAAACCAGCTGTCTGAAAATTAATGCAATCTTTAAAAACACTATCTGTTTTACAGCGGCTGGACATCAAGCAGTCAAGCTGGGTTTGCATGATTGTAATCAGCATTGAGTCCAGATTACCAAAATTGTGAAATTCATGGCCCAAATCATAACAAAGTACAGAAAGGTGCTGTTCCAATAGAAATAAAGGATTCGCAAGGTATGCTGGTTCATACACGTCAATCATGTTTCAAGCCATACAAGCAGAGGAAAGCTTGTTTCTTTAAACTATTACTAGTAATTCATAATAGAGATAAAAATTTCCAAGAAATGATCAGGACTTTAAAAATATTGGCATTCAAATGTATAACAGCAACAGGAAATAAAATGCGTTTTAAACTAAGAAATTATATAGTCAAAAATCAAATGAATTCATTAAAAATCTTCTTCACTGAAAAAGAGGATTTATTAAAGAAAGGTCAAAAGTACATAGTTATTCATTGCAACAAAGTTCATTGCCTGCTACCAAAATTGTCTAGATTTTAGTGGCTTTCTTGCGTCGCGGGTTCTGGTGATGGGGGGGTTCTTTGATTATATAGTGAAAATACGTGTCGCAGTATTCTTTGAAAAAGATTCCTTACTGCTCAATAACCCTAAGTATTAAATAAATTAAAATACATAGTTATGATCGCAAGAGTGCCTCTACCAAAATTGTGAATTTTACAACAAACAAACAAAAACAAGCCGGCAAAGGTTGTATTGATACAAAATATTTAATTTATAGTGAAAACACATAAATTCTTTAAAACGTAAGGTCACAATGCTTTTTTGGTATTAAATAGACTTTTAAGTTCCTAGTTATGATGAGCATGAGTGCCTCTCCCAAAATTGTGAATTTTATGGCCCCACCACCAGACCTGGTGTTAGGGGGGGGACAAACTATTCATTACAATACTGTCAAAATAACGCTGGCAATTCTTTGAAAATCTTCTCTGCTCCTAAGTATTAAATAAACTAACTAAGTACATAGTTATGATAAGCATGAGTGCCTCTACCAAAATTGTGAATTTTATGGCCCCAGGGTCAGGGGTTCTGGTGTTAGGGTGGGGCTGTATTGATTATACATGTATAGTGAAAAAACATTAAATCTTTGAATATTTCCTACATTGCTTCTGGGTTTTAAGCAGATGAAATACCTATATACTGGTATTTATAAGCAAGGGCCCTAATCTTCAAGAATTGTATGTAGAGCTGTACGATAGAGGGAGGGAGGGGGCTGTACTTATATACTGAAAATGAATGAATTGTTTGAAATGTGCTCCTTGGTATAAATCAAATATTTTTGAAAAGCAAGGATGCCTTTCCAAAAAATGTTCAATGTGTGGATCTAGGCCTAAGATTCAAGGGTTCATTTGTGGTAGCGGCACTACTGATTATTGCTGAATATTACTGATTTGTTGAAATGCATTTTTGTTCTCCTACCCTGCCTATGGGTATTAAGTAACCAAACTAAGGAACTGCTAAGTGTATAGTTATGATGACCAAATTGTAAATGCTATAGCATCCGGCTTAAAACATTGATCAAATTCAATCACTGGAAAGTTGTTGAATAATACTCAGGTGACCTATAAGGCCCATGGGCCTCTTGTTTGTTTGTGGACTCAGTCTGAGTAGGCCTATAAACGTGTACTTCGGACTCCTGGAGATGAACCAAGATGTGCTGTTCATAGTTTAAAACGAAAAGGTTAATACATAAAAAACCACTGAACTCTTTTCCACTTTATTTTTACATTAAATTAGATCCCCTCGCTTCAAAAAATCAAATGTCGAACATTACAAATCAAGAACACAGAAAAAGAGGATTTAGGAAAAGAAAAACAATTTAAGCCTCTGGAGGTTACTAATTCATTGCAACAATGCTCCTTACTAACACAGAATTCGTCTGCGTGACTCAATAATACAGCGTCTGCTCTAGTTTTGCGTAGTAAGGAGTTGATCGTTACGTCTTGGGTTCGAAAGTGGGACATGGACACGGTTCCTTTGGATGAGACCATATAAACCGATGTCTCGTGTCACAGTAGGTACTGGCACGAAAAAAATCCATCACTACTCAATGGCCCTTAGTGCCGAGTATAGATCAAAAACAGCTTGCCACTGGCAAGTGATGGCGTCTCCACCTGAGAGAAATTTTCCCGAGAGGGACGTTCAACAACAAAGAAACAAAAACAAGCAGGCAAAATTATATTGAATATATACAAAACATTTACAGTGTACAACAGCAGTAAAAGCTAAATAAAACGTACATGTAAGGTCATGATGTTTTGCAGGTAGTTCATAGAGACTTATAATTCCTGAAGCTACAGAACCACCGAAAGTTCATTCCTCGATTGCTTTACATGCGCACGCATCTGACCACCAGAACGGTATAGGTCACTTACGCTGGCAACGTATTGTGGGTACCTGTTGCAGGCTATTATTACTTCAGCTCAACGTTGGTCAGTGGAGCTGCAGAAACTATTAGAGGCAGTATCGTCCATAACAGCAATATGTGGCATATGTTTTCGCGGGAAATGTGGGGACGTTTGGATTTGGGTCGAACTCTATCGTGTTCTACCTTAATGTTGTTGATGATGTCTATACTCGGAGTATAGATACAAACAGCCATGTTTTTTTTTTTACAGATGCATGGTATAACTTTTTTCTGGATTTCTTATCTCAAATTAAAATATTTTGAAACGTTATGTTAGTTATTTCTTTTATTACCTGGAAAAAGGTGAACATAACATACGTCTTCATCAGTCCTTAAACATAACTAATTGTTTATAAGAGGGATATATCAAGGAACCCTGCAATACTAAGATCCTAGGGGGAATAAGCATTCTATGTTAATCGGATCACAACCGCAGCGTATTGATCAGGTAAAAGGGATATTCTAGTCAAAATTGGTATGAAACAAAGTTTATTAATAAGTTAATCGATTCCGATAAGCACTGATCGTGTCCATTTATAGGCGACCTATTTTGATATTTCTATGTAGCAGAATTTATCTAAAAAAACTTACACAGGAGAAAAAGATACTTGTTGTGGCCCTTAGAGTGATTTCCTAATAGTATTAAAACAACTAAATCCCTGAGTAAAAATAATATATTAGTTATGAACAACTGATTGATGCCAATTATTAATACGAAAATGTAAAGAAAGAAAGAAAATTTACATATGCTCAACATATGAACATAAACGTATGTTAATCATATGATCATACAAAACATATGAATAACATGTTAAACGTATAATCAACATATGTTTAGAAACATATGTTAACTATATGTTGCTCGTTTTCTATGGCGAACATATGTTTCGGAACATATGTTAAACGTATGTTCAACATATGTTGAACATACGTTGCAATTTTACCTGTGTATATATAGAAACAATTTATATAAAGAGACGTATATTACAAAGTTCCAAAGTTTTAACTTTGGTACTGTAGTGAACTTTAGTAAACTATAGTTTACTATAGTTTTTTTTGTTAGGGGAACCACAAATCTGCAAGACAATTTGTCTCATATATTGATACTCGGATCGGTTTGAAGATTACCTTCTGTAATTGGTAATTATTCAGTTATATTCACCTGGATATGTTGCCCTCTAACTCAGGGATATAGGTTAAATACAGTACACAATGAAGATAACCACAAAGGTCTCAAAATAAATCAACCTAATAAGGTGAAATTCACAACAATTTGAAGAACTTTCAGAACAGGATAAAAATGTGTTCTCAAGGAAATCATATCCGAAATTTTATGGTCAGATATGTACTGTATCCATTTACCTATAAAAATGACTATTTTCACTGTTGTATTGTCCTGCAAAAGGTCTTAATAATAACCCAGCTTCCTCTTTGCTCTGATTAATATATAACTAAGTTTGTTTTTCCTCAAGGTCAAGGGAACTTTTCTTTGTGAAACCAACCGCTTCCTGTTTAGTCGTCCATTGGAAGCAATAACGAGTGTATAGGTTGGCGATCGGGGAACAGCATCGATGTATACACTCCTATCGACATTAACGTACGTAGGGGGTACGTGAGCGTACACTGGGGGTGTGTTCACAACCGTCGGTGTGTCTGTCAGCAACAAAAGACTGTCGTCATCTTCAGCAACGTACCCAACTACGTCACATCCGGGGCAATTCAAAATTTGACAAAAGGTCATAGCAAAGGAGACCAATAGCAACAGTAAAAGGAAGTTCATGTCCTGAAAAAGAATTACAGATGTAAAAAATACACGTTGCCTATAAAAGCTTTAAATACTTAAACCATAAACTGACAAATGTCTTAGTTTGTCAGATATTT